AATTTGGCAACAGCTGACGTAGATTATGTATTCTATTAACGCATTCTAATTCTACAAGATGATGCGTTACGGATTGCATACAATTTTATTGGTTCTAAAGTCGAATAATAGAAGAGGTTCAACAATGATCCTGGTCAAATTGAGAGCTATAGCAAAGCAATACAACCAGATCTGCCGTAAGAAATTAGTCCTTAACTTTTTGCAAATACTGATAGCACGTTTTTCTAGAACCTAGGGATTTTCGTCTCGTAACTTCAGGATAGATACATCCTTAAATTTTAGAGAATTCAGGGCAAATTTGAGCCAAAATCCTAGATCATCCTCCTCCATGCATTTGCAAAAAGTTAAGGAAAATTTTCTCCTAGAAAATAAGGTCTTTGTCATAAATCCAGTCACATATTATGATTAAATGCATATTACTTCTCTGGTGAAGATAACTTGGAAATTGAAAAACTTATCGTCAGAACATGGTTTATTCAACTGTACTTTTGATCGATTCAACCTTGTTACTTTGTTGGCATAAAAACCATATTCCAATTTTCTTTCAGCGAGGAGACGATTTTTTTCAATATAATTATTAATTTAAAAAAGTGTCTCAAAGGCATTATCATCTCCCGAAAATCAGGGTGCTTACAATAGCAAGGAATGCGCGGGAACTGTAGTGTATACAAAGTGCAGTGTTGCTTAAAGCAACTATGAACGCTCCTAAGCAGCTCACTTTGTCTATTAAACGTTTTGAAAGCGAACTGATTGAGCTGAGTTTAGTGGAAGAATCTTTGTGCAACCCTACATGTAATACTTTGAGCTGCTCGGCGATTTTCTTTATTCATTAAGGATTTTGGAGACTTTATATATTGGGAGATAGCGTAGCCTATGAAAATTGAGAAAGATGGAAGGGTTGCTGTGGTAACTCATTTTTTAAATGAAATGTTATTTCCTCCTTTTGATCAATCTTTTTAAATTGTCATGGGTGAATATTCGGTTTTATTTCCATCCTTAAAATTTTCGATGAAAAATAAACCTTATAAATACTTTTTTTTTAAATGAAAATATTACTTTATTTTAAAAACATTTACATTTTTAAAATGTGGCAAATATTTGTAAAACCTTTTCCAAGCGATGGCATCGATATTAAAGTCAATGAGCAGTAGTTGTGTCGAAAGAAACTATGCACAAATGAATAAAAGAGGGAAAAAACCGAGAAGCACGCAATCTTCGGTTTTAGCCCATTTGTACATCGATCTTTCAGAGTCAAATACGTCCTATTTTGAGCGTTTGGTAGCGCTCACACCACGCTGCAGCACAAAGAAAGCACAAAATATAAGAGAAAAAATTAATGTGCTTTGAAAATCATTAAATACGACAAGGAAACACCTTACCTAATATTTACAAAACACACATTAAATTTTTCATTCATTTTTTTTTTTATCAATTTAAATTAAAGTAATCCATGCAGAGTGTGCAAACATATAAAAATCATGAGTTGAAAAACGCTGAATTCACGAGTTTAAATTATACGCCATAGCATAAAGCGGAGTGATGCGACGTGCTGCCAGCACGTAACGCGCACTGGCGCCTACAAACCTAAGCAGATACTTCACGCATTGCGCAATGCTTGAGGTATCCCTTAGGTTTGTAGGCGCCAATACGCGTTCCGTGCTAGCTGGCTGGCCGCGCCGGCGCCGCAACGTGCCACGTGCCACGGCGCGCGTGGCATGATACAGTGCTGCATGAACCAAACCAAAATAAAGCTTTTTTAAGGAGAACCTTGGCGAGGTTAGCGGTGGTTATGACAAAATCAGACGCTCCTCCGACATACAGTGTAAAGGCTCTGATCTCGTAATTACAGGTTTGGAAGCTTGTTGATGGTGAGAATTTGATGCTTGTTTGAACACAAGTCACAGCCTGCGTTGGTTTCTGCCTTATTCCTAAGAGCCGTATGCATTGAAGGAGGTACATAATAACAAATACTTGTGAAGCATATTTTGGTTTCATTTGATTGAATGCGTTTTAGACGTGCAATCATACGAAATGACTTGTAATCGTATGAGCTTTTTCCCCAGTATCTGCGATTAATGAATCGTAGGTTTAATCGTGCTGGTTTCATGTTCGTAATCCTATAAATTCCAGATAAATTGAATTTCATCCAGATGTAAGCATCAATTAAGCTGCGTACACTTTCCGAGTCAATATGCAACTCTGATTCAAAATACCTGCTCCTTTCAGAGTTAACGTTGCTTGCCGATATGAGGCACAAGTTTACGGTATCCAATTAAAGATGATCTTAACGAGAACAAGTTAAAGTTTGTTGATTTTCAGATCAAGCGTTTACATGCCAAATTTCTTCTGTAAAATTTTTGTATCTTTAGTACAACCGAAAGGAAAACTGCATATATCAAATGGAGGATACCTACCACCACATATTTTCGATGGAAACCATGTGTAAATTTGTCAAGTCATTTGATAGTGTGTAACTCTGTGCACGAATTAACTTTAAAAAATACACACATTTCCATTGGAGACCCATTCCTTAAAAACCGTGTGTTTCCAAAAAATCGTGTTCTACAACGCAAACACTCTCTGGGTTAATTTTTTTCAAATTAAAAGAGATGATCGGTTTCGATTCACAGACTTTTTGTGAAGCATTACTTCATTATAGGAGCCGAGATTTCGGAAATGAACCTTTTCATGTGTGTCGGAAAGTCCCTTAAAATCTTTCGGAAATGTTTGGAAAATGAACCAGTTTTTCAGAGTACGGATACGATGGCCTCACAGAACACGATGAACATTTGTAATCGTGCTAAATTTTGCGATAAGGAACTACTATTTCTAGTCTATCTATAAAAGCACGTTTCTACATGGAACGACTGATATTCAATAAGTTGTTTCTAAAATGAGACAGAAAAAGCAAGTTTATTGTTGCAAAATGTGGCCCGATTGTAGTGCATTGTGGCCTCCTATTTTCGCTTCTTTCTTTGATGTTAACCGTCTACAAGGTAAGAGACTTTAGTCCTCAAAAACTTGAAACTAAGGTCTTGGTATCATCAGAGCATAAAGAAGTGTTATGCGAACGGTCTGGGACAAAAATTTTCATTTTGAAACTTATATTGCTTGGCGTTTTGTGTTTACAAATCTGCAAAACACTGTTCGATGCTCCGGTACCAAGAACTCATTAGCAGGTTTTTGTAGACTAGACTCCAGGTTCATTTCATAGTAGACGGTCACATACTTAGTTAAATTTTGAATTTTAAGTAAAGCTCCATTGCACTATTGGCGGTCATAAAAACAACGGTGAAAGCAGCGTCATATCACTCTAAAACTCATTAGCGGGGAGAACATAATTCACAAAAAAGAACACAGTGACAATTAAATGCTGTATTTTTCCACCGATTATACGGCGGCTAAGCACATGCGTCAGCTTTGGCTTCTGCGAAAATTATAGGTAAAAAGTTTTAAAAACTGAACATGTTCGATTTATTTGTTCGGATGGATGGTGTGCTGGGTAGCCTGATCATAGTTTTGGGAATAGCTTCATTTCCAGCATTGATTTCATTCGATTACACACATTAGAGGCTTTAAAAAAAAAGATAAATTCAAATACCTGATTAAGTCTCGTCTGACTAACGACTTTTTGTACTTTCACCGAAAAAATAAATAACAAATCACAGGAATTCCAGGATAAAGAAGAACGTACAACGCTAAAATCAATTCACAATGTTTCCTCTCCTTCCAAATGAATTAAAGAAAACAATATTGTTCCAAAGGGAAGTTATGCTCAGTTCCATCAAAAGTCTAAAACAACAACATACCGACGAATGAGTGCAAAAGAACTTCCTTAAAATAATACAAAGTTTCGTATCAATTGAAAGTATAGTCGTAATCTACAAGAAGTTCGATTCTGGATATTCAGAGAAACCTCGAAATTGTATAACTCCTTCAAATTTTCCTTCCTTAAACGACAGGTTAGGCCGGAATCAACGGTCCTGCATTATTACGAACACTGAAATTCCCCCCTATCACAGCATGCTATCACACGTGCTCGTGCAGTCCAACTGTACATTCTGCCTGCGCGCACGTCCAGAATGTACAGTCGGCAAAGGCCCACTGCCGACTGCCAGTCTCTGCGCATGCGCGAACTGTCAACTATACAGTCGGGGACTACTAGTGTGATAGCTACTTAAAATTGATCGTTTGAGAAATAAATGACGTAACAATATGCTTCATAACGTGGGCTGGGCCCTTTGCCCCTTGACTCCTCCCTCTCCCTTGGAACGCTGACGTCATTTTTCGGGGGGCCCTTTCCTGGTGAACGATCACATGTAACTATCCAAAATCGATACCTGCACCGGAAAAAAACACACATTGGATCTAGAGCCCAGACTCTTGAAAACATTGACAAGAAAAAATACTCTTGATTCAATCAGGTTTTTGCTTAAATCAAAAGGAAATCCGCTCAAATTAAGAAGCTTGGTTCTTGATTTAAGCAAAAATCCAATCGAATCCGGAGTAATTTTTCCTTGTCGATGTTTTTAAGAGTCTGGACTCTAGGTCCAATGTGTTTTTCATTCCAGTGTGTAAGTAACGCAAGTTTGGATGAATCCATCGTCATGTAAGTAATTCACGTTAAACTGTTCGAATGATCTACGGTTTGCGAAGGTTGTCATCTTGAATTTCCGGAAAATTTAGCCGGCACGTCGATTTCCTCCGAGCGCAAATTTTTCCCGCCTTTGATTTTCCTTTAGTATCGAGCCACGCAACAGATGCAACTTCCGAAAATTCGTGGATTCGATCATACAGCGTCGCCAACGTAGCTTTTCACGTCAAATGCATCGCAATCCGCCGGCGAAATGGAAAATGACGTGGCCGCCGGCAATTTCCCGGAACGCATGACAAATCCGAAAATGGAATGCGTGTCTCGTCCCGACACCCATCGCTCAGTTCGAGCAGTCACGAGATCCGAGAAAAAACGGAAATAAATCTATTTCGCTGGGCGCTATATAAACGATACCGAAGGCCGCATGAACCACTCATTCATTTAGGTATCGTGAGTGCAACACCTAATGATGGATATTAAACACGGTGGTGCTTTTATCGTAGCGGCCCTGGCCCTAATTTTACAGGTATGATTATTTTAAATCAGCTTAAGAGAAGCACAGAGGCCCTTAAATTCTATTCTGGTAATAAGTGTGTTGCACGCTGCACTGGAAAAAAAAACACATTGGATCTAGAGCCCAGACTCTTAAAAACATCGACAAGAAAAAGTACTCTTGATTCAATCAGAACCTAGCTTAAATCAAGAACCAAGCCTCTTAATTTAAGCGGCTTTCGTTTTGATTCAAGCAAAAATCCGATTGAATCAAAAGTATTCTTTCTTGTCAATGTTTTCAAGAGTCTGGACTCTAGATCCTAAGTGTTTTTTTCCCAGTGTGACGATACAGCAATACTGAGTGTACTTTCTTTGGGTAAACAGTAAAAAAAGCACATGTTACCAGAAACTAGTGAAATATACCTAAAAATACAAAATTAGCTTAGTTTTTTTCATGTTTTGTTAAAGTGCATGCCTGTTAGAAAAGTGGCCATTTTTGGGGAAACTTAGGGACTTCGTTCAAACTTATGTATCCTAGACGAAACTTTGTGATGATACAAAGTTCACATCTGTCACCATTGATAAATGCTAATATTTTGAATTTTTGGCTGTGGCGCTTCTGAGAAGTAGATCCGTCGAGGTGACTTTTTTTTGTGAATTTCAAAAGTAATTTGTTTTCTTATTTCTTCTTTCTCTCTCTGTTGCTCGATAATTGATAAGAGCATGAATCATCACTGTTTTACTAGGTTGAATATAATCTTTTTGGCAAGGTAAAGCATTTCTCCACCGCCCTTATCCCACCCTGTTTCAATTTTTCCGATCATTGACAATTTCTAGATGATTTAAGCAAAACATACTGTAGTAAGCTATTGCGTCGACCAAGCACTGACACTGAATGCAGTGGCGAGGCGTGAATGATCAATTATCGATATTTCCCCATTTGAAGCTGTGTAGAATAATCGATTATTAAGGTGTTCATTGCGAGCACCCTGTTTGTCGATCCTTTTTCATTGGTTTAAATGGCAGATCAAGCGATATATCACGCCACGCCACTGACTGAATGCCTTCCACAATTGGACGTATTTATGCGAAAAGGAGATATGTGGAAGTGGAAAGATGGGGTGTGCTCGTTAGTGGTCGGGCCATAAGAATGAATGGGGAATATAAAGCGCCAGTGACGTCAGCGGCAGTGAGTGCGCACTCTAACGGCGGGGAGATGGTCGTCGGGGCGCTGTAACTCGTGAGCCCTGTCCACAACGCTCTCTTGCCATGCCCGCGGCTCATGAGTTAGCATATTTTGCCGCTTAGCTCCTTTTGATTTAATGTCAAATCCCGCTTTTCAATTTTCTCAAAAGGAGCTATATTTACTTTTACATTGTTTCTTATGACCCAACTAACGAGCACACCCCATCTTTCCACTTGCACATATCTCCTTTTAGCATAAATACGTCCAATTCATTAATAAAACGAAGCCCGCTGGATGATGAATTTCCTACCAACCTTGTGGGAACGTTAAATTCCAATTTCACTATGAAATTGCATCAAAGCAACATTATTTTCTTCCAATTAAAGCCAACACTGATACGCCGAAATGCGCGTTCATTCCTGATTTAATTGAAGTCGAGATATAATTGGACGCGAAGTGAACGTTACTGTGCTTTTCCTCTGCAATTGATTTTTCACCTTAAATATTCTCTTTAACACGTGGTTTTCATTAGAGGGATGTCAATTCTTTCTAAATATTAGGCTGCATTCATCGGTGAGAGTATCTGCTCTAAATAACATTTGGATACATTTAACGAAAGAATGTTTGCATCAAGAGTTCTGGAAAAAGACGTGTGGGAAATATTTCAGAACTGCTAAAAAAGACATATTAGATACAGGGACGCATACCAGTGGCGTGGCGTAAATTACGATATATCGATTGTTATGCCATTTAAACCTATGGAAAAGGATCGATAAATAGGGTGTTCGCAGCGAACACCTTAATAATTAATTCTTCACCATGGGTTTAAATGGCGTAACAATCGATGTATCACAATTCACGCCACGCTACTGACGCATACCGATTACCAAAGTACAGAACAATGCTTCTCCATTTGCAATATTACAGACTTCCTGTCATACTTTATTATTTCTTTGGAATACGTGGAATACTTGTATTTTCTTGAAAATTTCCTTGATGTTTCTTTACTTCTAGTAAAATATTCTGAATTAATTTCAAGCTAAAGAGTAAGCATTTTTCTCTTGGAGGAAACTAAAATATGAGCGGAAATTTTGAAATATTGCAATGGAGATAGGTTGTTTGGTATTTTGAAAATTAGACAAGCCGGGGAGGAGACTAACAGGTAGTCGCAGTAAAGGACACTAGGTTTCATTAAAAGTCAGGGGTAGTTAGGAGCTTTCAACTATAATTCGGATCGATCCTTTTCCGCAGAATGTAATCCTCTTTTCGAGAAGCTTTACGTGAAACATGTCCATCTATATGCATTAAAACTTGGGGGGAAAGTGTCAATTCTTATTGAAACTGAGTTCTCCGTTTATGGTGGCTCTTGGGTACCTAATTAGCTTTGGGCCGGCTTTCAGATTACAATTGTAAAATCCGTCTGTATCTTAAACGAATTAGTACGTCATACTTAAAAAGAAGGTACACTCCTTTTGCATTAATTTGAGGGTTTTCCCGACAGTAAGTTACACCATAAAGAACGTATACTCCAAACCTCTGGTTGCAGGTCGCTGGAGTTTTTGGTTACACGTCAGAGTCAGAGAGAAGTTTGTTCTCTAGAGCCGTGGAGACTACGGATTTCAGTCCCGTCACTCAAAAAATTAGTCAACTTATATGGAAGGATGCAGCGGCCTGCCCAATTGCAGCGGCTTTCGCTCAAATCCGGCGTTTGAATAACGAGAAAGCAGGTTCTTAATTTTTTCAGAGTACTATCATACTCGGATTGCATTTTGCAGAAAGGAATCAAGAGCCTCCCTTCCAAGTCACTAAGATTGTGCAAATGTTTCAATACCTTGCAAATTTAAACTGACCATCTACAAAAGTTTTAATTTCATCCCTTATACGTTATAAATTCAGTACGAAAATTATTTTGCACAATTTCAGTAATTTTATTACAACGAATGTAAGTTACACAATCCCAGCAACATTGGAATGATCTTGGTTCCTTTTTGCAAAATGCAATTCATTTTTTCTAACCCATGGTAGAATTTTTGCAGCTCTGACAGTGCAAGTCTGTTAGAAAACTCATTAAAATGTAACAAAAAGTGAAGAAAACACCCGAGCCCTAAGATTGTGCAGCCAAACTCAAAACAACGTTTGTCACATGGACGTATTTCTACGAAACAGACCTATGTGCAAGTGAGAAATACGGGATGTGCTCGTTAGTTCTCTGGCCGTAAGAGTGAATGAGAATAATAAGCGCCAGTGACGTCAGCGCGGCGACGATGGAGACTTCCGAGCCGAGGATCCGCGTCTTTAACTCATGAGCCCTGTCCACAACGCTCTCCTGCCATACCCGCGGCTCATGAGTTCCGCATTCAGTTGCACATAGGTCTGTTTGATAGAATGCAAAATCCCGCTTTTCCAATTCTTCAAAAGGAACCACGTCCACTTTTACATTGCTTCTTATGCAGCTTCGACGAGCACACCCCATATTTCTCACCTCCACATAGGTCTGTTTGGTAGAAATACGTCCACATCATGTCCCAGAATGGCCACAATCTATATGTATGACTATTTTGAAGCATTTCAAAGAGCTTTAACGCAAACATACAGACAAAAAAAACATAAAATTCATCCAGACAAAGCACCAAATTTCTATTCTTCAATTATCAACGGACATCCTTCAGAAAAATGGTGATTTGGCAACATCTACGCCGATATTACATACTATATTTTGTTCGACCTTGGTTTAGCAATAATACGCTTATAGTGTGGTAACTGCAAATGACTGATATGTGAAAGATGAGAAGATTAACTACAAATAGCTAGCATTTCGGATGACGTCGATTGCCAGAGAAGATACCTCACCTGTTGAACATTGAAATCAGAGCTTCAGCTTTGGACTGACTTTTACACTATTTTTTAGAACAAAAATTCTATAAAGTATCTATCTATAATTTTAAGCAAGCTAGAGTCCAACGACTCACCAACTCACATCGCAATTTCTTATTTATTTCTAATGTAAAAACAGATAATACAATTTGCAGTCCTGTTATATAAATAAAGATTTAAAAAAAAAAAAAAAAAAAAAAAAAAAAAAAAAAAAAACCACTGTTCCGATCTATCATAGTTTTGATGACCAAATTACGACTTTTACTGGGGAAAATTATCCGTTGAAAATCAGAACTTGGGCTTCAGATAGATTTTTGCTCTTTTCGATCCATCAAAATTTGATTCCCAAATTACGACTTTTGCATGGGTAACTGATCCAATTTCAGGGGCGGATCCAGCAATTTGACAACACCGGATTTCCTCCATTTAAACCTATGCTAAACAATCTATTCTTGTCGAAGCACCTAGCCTCTTCAAGAATCGATACATTGCCATAGGTTTAAATGGAGGAAATCCGGTGTTGCCAAATTGCTGGATCCGCAAATGTCCAATTTAAGTCAGAGCTTACTGAGTTTTGGACAGATTTTTGCACTTCTCGGGCATCACAGTCATTTGAACTTTGTTCTTGTGTTTAATTTTTGTCGCGAATTCACTTCTCACAGTTGAAAATGCGCTGACCAAAGCTCTGAGTCTGGACCCATCGATCGTCGTGAAAGCCAAAGCAGACGGTGTGAGGGATGTGATCTGCGAAGCTTCTCAAAAGTTCCGGACACAGCTCAACGCGGCCGTGTCTTTTGCGAAGAGCACCGCCGAAGAGCCAAGGCCTGAATTCACAGAAATCGTGGACAACCCATGGATTAGCGATGAGCATTACGAGGACGCTATAAAAAATCTCAAGAAAGGTTACTCACAGGTACGGCAATACGTACAGTATGACGTTTCTCAAATATAACTCGCAGCTTGGCGGTAAGCTAAGATGTCGAACTTGACCTATTTTATCCAAGAGTTATCTTGACGTGTGTAAAACTTCCAAGAATATTTCTTTGAAAGTCACATCATGACGTCGTTGGTAGTATTAGAGTTTCTACAAGCATAGGGGTTTTATGATTCAACAAACTGTCTTGAGTGAAATTTCGTGGAAAACCGAATGGTGCCGTGAGTAAAATGCAAACTTGCAAGAAAATACGTGAAATTTGAGGTAGTAATGCCATTGACAATTTGACATACTCAATTTACGAAAGTTTTCATCTGTCTTCCGTGATTCATTTGAATTCTAGCGGCGAGTCATAGCGCTAAAATTAGCAACTACCCGACCTTTAAAGACTTCACATGGAGGAGTAATTTGGCCTTGGCTCCCTCAATCTCTCTTACAGTCAGCGTTGTATCCGCATTATGGACTCAGCTAGACGATGTTTGTGATTTTATTACTTAATGGCTGATTATCAGATACATATTTACACCAACGTAGTTCTTGAACATGTTTACGCTACTTACTTTATTAAGAGCCCCTAGAAAATAGATGATGATGCAAGTGACATTCTTTGAAACAAATTTATACCAGTGAAGTGTGATAAAACTTATTTTGAAGTACATACTTCGCCGACAAATGTACCTTAAAAACTCGATTTTCTGTTCCAAAAGATAAGTTCAAACTCTTTACAGTCTTGAAACTCAATAATTTCAAATTTTCATTATAAAAAACACATTGAAGAATAAATAAACTACACTTTGCAACAGGTACCTGCTATTTTTGGCTCATTTTAGGAACGACGTATTTGTTAGATCAGTGAAGTGTAGGAGGACAATTCTGTGGGCGAGCTATAGGGATAAAACTTATAAAAACATTTGTGTTCTTGTGTTACTTCTGGTTGGTGTAGGAGGTAAATAGCAAACCAATCCAAATTTTGTGTTGATTTTGGCACAGCTTGTGGTGAATTTAGCGGAAAAAAACAACGGAGAGACTGGGAAACCCCAGAGTCAGTCGAAGACTTGGTTTGTTTCGTGTTGAACTTCCCGTATGACCAAGCTTTTGTGTTGAATTTCCTCTCTGTGTAGCAGCTAGTTCCTTATTGCGAAATGTGGTCCAAAGTCTCCCGAAATACATTTCATATTCTCAGTGGCGAAAAGTAAGTGATCGACTATCGACATTTCCCCATTTGAAGCGGTGGTAAAGAATCGATTATTTTGGTGTTCGTTGTGAACACTCTGTTTATCGATCCTTTCCCATACGTTTAAATGTCAGATCAGCCAATATATCGCACGCCACGCCACGCTCCGCCGTTGTAAAGGGAGAAAGAAACTTCGTGCATTGGACCCGAAGTTGAGGTCATATGGATCTCTGAAGTTTTTGGGTCTAGTATCCAAAAACTTGAGGTTCAACTGCCGAAGTTCGGGTCAGACATCTGAAGTACTTAGGTATGTACCGGATACTTCAGATGTAAAACCCGAACCCTTCGGTATGTACTTAAGTACCCCAGATGCCTGACCCGAACTTCGGCAGTTGGACCTCAAGTTTTCGGATGCGAGATCCGAAAACTTCAGAGATCCATATGACCTCAACTTCGGGTCCCATGCACGTAGTTTTATTCTCCGTGTATATTCTCATCGATTTAACTCTACCTACATTCCAACAGACGAACTTCAAACAAGCGGCCGAGAGCGCGGACACGAAGAACCTGGGCCCCAGCCTAGACGACCGTAAGCTTGCAGCGTACAAGAAACTCACCGCGGTGCGCGTCGCCCTCCGGAGGGAGATCCTCAATATCCAGAACGCTGCCGATTACGCCGTCAACGCCCTGCAAGACGGAACTCAAGCCCTGAACAACATCCGACAGGAGCTGAGCAGGACCCGACGGTTCCCGGAGAGCATCGACATGGACGAATCCTCAGTCGCCCTCGCGCTGGCCGTCGGTCAAGAACTCGGCTGTGCCAAACCTGGGGATCTTGGACGTATCAACGGTGGGGTAGATCCTAAACCAACTCCCAAAAAGGACGATGATGATGGTCTTGGTCGAGTTTCCGGACCGCAAGGTGGTGAGGAGGAGGTGCTAGTTGGTGAAAAACCGGCCCTTATCGGTGGAAAACTGGCCTGGATGAGTGAGAAAATGGGCGAGAGTGGTGAAAAAAAGACACCGATCGCCGAAGAGAAAAAGCCTGGAGGGAGACAGCCCGCGGGATTCTTCAGTAGGCGGAAACGAACTGAGACAAAACCAATCACCCATAAACACTTCGACGGTTGAATATTCGGCGGGATTTGAGCTGTGCCTAAGGACGTGGAAAAGAATTCGTACCGAGAGATTGTACCACCAGACTTCGTAGTTTTTTAGATGGAGGAACGTCACCCCATTGCAAGGTTGCAAAACTGACTCGAAAATTTGATTTAATCACGAGAATATCGTCGCTTGGCTGGCACAAGAGCGTAACTAGACATTGAGATGAACCCGGGAAAACATTGAATTGTACGGAAGACAGGGTTCATTGCAGAGTGTAGTCACGCCCTTATGTCAGGTAGGAGACGATAATATGATTGAGCGATTTCTGTCCGGATTTTTTTGTGTGATCGGGAGGATAATCGATCACCCAGAACGATTCTCTTGTAAAAATGAGATTTGCGAGTAGATGTTTTGCAACGCTGAATTGCAGTGACGTTTTTTTCGTCTAGGAAACGACGACTGGTAAAAAAGTTTGATATGCGAGTACAGTGAAATTTCATGAAATAAAAAGTGTTTTTTCGAAGAAATGCGCAAAAGGTTTGAATTGAATTGAATGACGTGGGTGCACAAAAATTACAGATAGCAATCATTACTTAGGATAACGAAGGAGAAAAACTAAAAAACGGGGATAAAAGCTAAAAATTAAAACGCAGCTAAAATGAATGGATGCCTGATTACAACTAAGAGCAGGCTGCTATTTTATTTTTTCTATTGATTTTTCGTGGTTTTTTGAGAAATAATCCCAGTGTCAGCTCAAATGGCTTGCTTTTTTAATGCTTTTTATTTAAAATTTTCAGGCTTTAAAAACCTCCTGCTCTCTCTCTCTCCTCACGTGGCTGATAGGTAATGAAAATAGGAAACGCACAACTTGATTGTAACGTTAAAAAATTTCCACTCTAATCTCATATTTTGAAAGGAAACTCGGTCATATTTCGTTACATTTCTTCGAAATTTATTCGATGCTTGAGCAAAAATTACGTACAATTCAACGAATTACCGAGGGCACTAAAATAGAAGTTTGTCGCAAACTAGCGTTGTACAAAATAGTTTTTAAAATCTGGTTGGCTCTGGAGGAGATTTTCAAAATACTCTAAATGTCTCTTGAATTTCAAGCACACCAAATTTTGAAAAAAATTGCTTGGAGGGTTTTATAAAAGAAAAGCAAACCAGGGACAGGAATTTTACATTTATAAAAAAACGCAATGATTATGTGTTGGATATTCCTCTACATCCAAAATAAAAACGACGAAGCTGATAAATGTAAATTATTTATAATTGAAGAATACTCTCGGGAATAATAGGCATAATAGCAAAATATGGCAAAAATGGAAGAGTAAATAAAACGGAGAGCTCTAATCGGATAACGATTGGAAGCATGCAAGCATGAATAATAAATCTCAGGACTCCCCGAATTATACGCTTAAAAAGCAATGTAAAGTCCCATAATACGATCGTGTAATCTGACGTGCGCATTTTTTTTGCGTCAGGATTTAACTTAACAATACAACAATTGGTATTATGAAATACCGGTAACAGTGGCGTTGAACTACTGCAAATTTTAATGCCTCCAGCACACCCGACATGCAGAGCTTTGGGTAATTAGAATCACCAGATCAGTAGCGCTTTACAATTGCACTACTTCCCGACGGAAAAAAGAGAGTAAATTATTCTTGTTTACGGTATCAATTTATGAGCAGATAATGAAAAAATTAATAAAAGAACAACTAGAATTACAGTTGGGTTCAAGTTCGGCTTAATTTCCTGCGATGGGACGTTCCTACACAACAAAAAACGCAGCTCCTTGAATAAACTACTGTTGATATAAGGATGATACATTATTGCCTGTCTGAAAAATTGAAGGCGAAATAGCATTGAGGTCACTTCCGACTCGGTTCAAATGCCTTCAGGGTTTTGCTGGGGGCCTCGCAACTTCACAAAAATTTTAAGCTTGAGTGTAGTTGCGTTAATCAGAGAATACGTTTTTGCTGTTAGATGAAAATAGATGATATTAAAATCGGATAAAACATCAAGTTTTTACGTTCAATATGAATTGAAAAAAAATTTTCTCAGAAAACACGACGAACAACGTCTTAACGTAGGATGAGGCAGGGCAAATATTCGTCGATCAACTTTTGCGGATGTGCCTTGCCGCGACGGATAGCATCAGTCAATGTGCCTTCCGAAAACATTTTCTTTATGATTGAAAAAAGCAAATGGGTGTTCAGACGGATCTTTTCATTTTTAGCAGATTCATAAATTGCAACCGTTGAAACACGATTCTAATTTCAACAGTCACAGTGAAAACCATAGTCGTTTTCAAAGTTATCAAAAAACACGAACCAGCCTTGTAACCTTTTAAAAGTATTAATACTACCAAATACTCTCAGCGGCGCTATATTTTCTTTGATTACTTTTGCGTTAAAAATTAACCTCATGCAGTTTAATTACCTGAGAGATTGTTAGGTAGTTTGATAGTGAATCCAGAATCTTCTAATTTCTTACCTGTAACATACATAAGAATAAAAATATTACACATGACGAAAAATAAATTAGATAATCGATAGTTAAATTCGCGAATTTATATTTCATGTTGCAAACTTTTGCTAGAGTAAGTCAATAACAACCACCCATTTTAACCAATAGGATTGCTCCATTCCTCCTTTGTCTTCTTTATCGAACCATTAGTCTATCAAGTTCAATAATCAGGCTGCTGACTGACAGTTGGATTGCATTTTGCAAAAAAGAACCAGGAGCATTGCAATGTTGCTAAGATTGTGCAACTTCACCCATTGCAATACAACAATTTATATCCTGAAATAATGTGAAATTTACATGGTAATTTTTGTTCTAAATTTACAGTTTTTGGCGAGTTAAATAGAAACTGTTTAGAGATAATTAGGTATTCCTTCCAAGACAAAAGGAGCTGCACAATCTTAGCAATATTGTAAAGCTCCTGGTTCCTTTTTACAAAATGCAATCCAGTTCATCTCCTGCAGAGTACCATGAAATAGAACAACTATATCAGTTTTTTTTGAAATGGAACCAGAAGGCATTGACCGATGCCAAACTATATCGGATAAATTTTTTTTTCACGATAGAAAGGTTGTATCGATTCTCACGAAAATCCCAGGTAATTCCTTCGGAGCCATGAAGCAAATCCCCTGAAATTTTTGAGAGCATTGACACAACTTTTCGGGCGTTATAAAACAATCTCTTCAATAAAATTAGCATTGCTCCCATTTCCCGGCACTAGTTCCGAATTTCGGAACTTTAGAGATTTTCCTGAATTCTTCCCGGGAACTTTGAAATTCCCGAAATGTTCCGGATTTTTTGCATTTTCCGAATCTTTCTCGGAAATTTTGACAAACATGGAATGGGAGCACTGAAAGTTGGACAAAAGCTCATATCACTCCGCGGATCTCCGCAGAAACACCACCCTTCAGTCCGCTCGATTTCGGGCGGTCCGACAACGCGAGACATGAAGGCGAATCGTCGCATCCCTACTTGGCATCCCTTCCAATTGATACGCCGCCCGGGATCGAATTGATATTCATGGCGCGAAGTCACCGGGCACGATTAGGATCGGCCCTTTGATTCGAGCTAAACACAAATTACGGATTGTAAATTGTAACTTTCACCGCAACTTGCGATATTGCCCGCTCTTGTGGCGCCCCAAGTTCAACTCCTCCCGTCGGAAGCGCTCATCGTAGCTTCTCTGACGTAAGGGCGTATCGCGATCTCAGCGTGAGCCCCGGAGAGCATGAATATAGATGTAAAACAGGGCTCACGTGGAATTTGAGATACGCCCTTACGTCAGAGATCCGAACCCTGATCGCTGCAAAAATCGTTCCTTCCGACTTAGTTACGACGAGGACCTTGGGAAGTCTTTTGTTCCAAAAGACTGGACTCCGTCGTTAGGAATCTACCTCGGGTAGGAAGAAATCGTCTTTTAAGAAAGATGTTTTTTAGGAAATTACGAAAAAGCACTTTGAGTGGGATGGAGAAAAGTCAAAAGCGATAGCTACACGAGAATGTTGAAAAATTTCTGTCGAAAGAAAACACAGAGAAGCGAACCAAGATCATCTGGAAATGTATTAAATAGGGGTCTCTATTTCTGTTGAGTATATTTATATCGTTATCATTGTAGCACTGGTATTTTGGTATAGTAGCAATGGGTTGAGAGCAAAAAGGACATTCAGCTGGACACTCGATGATTCATCGTTTCCAAAGACTTTTCAAGAACAGGGTTACTTCAGTATTTTGGCTCCACAAATACGCAATACATTACCACACAATCTACTCACCTGATACTTCTAGAATATTGAATAAAAAACACAAGAGGAAAACAAATAAGTCGGTTAGAACGAAAACACACCGACTCGGTAACTCGAAAATGCTCAATTTTCATTAAAGACAGTCAGTTTTTATAAAGGTCATGGAAGTTATCGCATCTGTTCCAACTTTGGACCTTTAAAGAGTTCTCAAGTACCTGTCTTTCGGCACCAAAATGTTTTTCTTCGACTAACCTCTTCACGTACTGTGCCGTTTTTTGTGTGTCTTGAATATTTTCATTTTTTCGAGTTGGTGTGTTTTCGTTCTCACTGATTCAAATATCAAAGGACTTTTTATACCTTGTTTAGTGTTCCATTAGGAGATTATTCTCTTTTTCAGTAATTTTAACCATAGTTTTTTTTCCTCAGTGTGCATCGCCTTTTACGAACACAATTGAATCAGTGAGTTCGAAAACACACCAACTCGGAAAAAAAAATTGTTCAGGAAACATCTAAAACTGCGCAGCGGAGTTAGTTTAAGAAGACCCGTTTTGGTGCCAAAGGACAAGTACTTAGAGACTTTTTAAAGCACCAATTTGAAATCGATACACCATGTTTGATGACAGAGAATTAAACGTTTAAACATTTCCGAGTTGGTGTGTTTTCTTTCTCACCGATTTTCAGATACTGATTTTTCGTAGTCTGCCCTGAAAAAATTATATTTTTTGACCTGAATAACGCTTGAATATTTATATAACTTGTCAATACAAGGTATACTGAACCGAAAAAAGAAAACCGCAAAATCGGATGGTCACCCGTTTCCCTTGGAATGGCCAAAAATTGGTATTTCCAATGAAATAATTCGATTTTCCCCTTTTCCCGTCGCTTTTTCAAGCACTTCCGATTGGAATTTCAAAATTTCCTTTTGCGTGCAGATGCTTCTATCCATGAGTGTTACTAAACTGTAAAAAAGTGAAAATCGAAAAAACCCCGAATGGTGTGTTTTCGAACTCACTGATTCAATTAGAAACGTAGCTTCCTTCTTAATGTATTCCTCGTGGATCGAGGTCGAATCTCGAGCGAGCGGCAACTTGACAGCGGCGCGGGGCGAAAGCTACTCAATGGGCGAATCTATGCAAGCTGTTGTCAGACGCCTGGTGCAATAAAAACTTTCGGGCGTCACGACGACGACGACTCGGGGATGTTCCGGTTGTCTATGCGCCCGCACGCCCTGCGCCCACCCCCGCCCCACCCCG